CATTAAGTCCATGTTTAGTGCARTGGTTTTATCAGCAACATTCCTTGGAGCAGAAGCCCAGGAATACAAACACGCCACAGCAAACACGTGAAGAATTTGATAAGGCCGAACTGCCTCTCTGAACATCTCTCTCCTGGTTTTTCTCTTTGGGTATTTAAAGTTTTATGGTAGGTCAGGATTGCTTAACAAGCCCTGCACATGCAATGGCACTAAATGTATTTATTTCCATTCAACCTCTGATAGAGCAGACAGGAAAGCAGGGAAGGATTTAGATGAATCCAGTGTCTGAAGAAGTATAAACTGTGTTTGTTCCATGCTTGCATCAAGCAGATGGCACAAGGGAAGAGATGAGAAGGTAGAAAGTGAGTAAGACAAGACATGCAGGTTCAAGTTGGTCTGAGACTAACTGTGCAGGTCCTCAAAGCCATCAGTGTTGAATTTAGGGGATGTAAGTGGGAGCTGTCACTCATCAGGGTGTTTCTAATGGTGATTTAGAAACAAAGTGTATTCCAGGGTGGTAAAGCTAATCCTCCGCAGGCTACAGATAGGAGCCAAATGCTTGGGTGTGGGTGTCTCATGCCTTTAGAGATGCCTCAGGTCCAGCTTCCACTCCAGAGGATGTGGGTCCTTCAGAGGCTCTGCTCAGTTTCTGACAGCCAAGCAGGGGTAGCTCAAATATCTCAGAGCATCTCAAATAATACTAGAGGTCTCTGATGCAGTACCAGACTTAAGTCTGGAGCCCTGAAGGCTTAACATGATAGATACCATCTTCTTTTCTGCCTTTTCCTCTTCCTCACAGCCTTTAGCTCCTGCTTTGACTTTGAGGGAAAAAAGAAAAAAAGGAAAAAAAAAAAGACTTCTTCCCAAAGTTAAACATGGACTTATCCACCATTAATTTTATTCATACTTTATGCCAATGTCAATGTGTAATTTCCCAAGCTCCCCTAGAAGAGAGGCACAGTGTGGCTGGATCTCCCGTCATATCCTCCTGCTCCCCACAACTGACTCTTCTGCTCAGGACCCACCTGAAGAGCTCATGGGACACATGGTCTATGTAGTGACAACAAGATATCTCTGGCAAGTCACTCTCTCTCTGAGTTGTGTTTGTATGACTGCAGTGACAACCAGTAGAGGGAGAAGAGGCTGTTCTTAAGTTAATTCCATATGAGGGCACAAGAAGAGTCTTGTTCTGTTCCAATGAGTGGCAAATTCTGGTGTGCACCTTGGCACTAAGGTCTCTCTCTGGAAGCTGGAAAGAAGTTTGATCCAGGCATGTTCTTGCCATGCGGAAGCCTTAGGTGTGGAAGGGGGCTGTCAAGACCCAGATATGGGACAGTGAGTTTTTCCATTAGGATTTTTATATTTATATATTTATGTTTTTTTCTATAGGAGAAAGAAAAAAAGGAAAAAAAAAAAAGCTGTGAGTGATGCAGGGAATCCAATAATAGCATTTTAGAATAATGTCGAACATATACCTGTGAGAGCCCATGTGACAAGSCCATGTGGGCGACGCAGAGTGGATGCAGAGAATGTCACACTCTTGCAGACAGCCACGCTCTGGGCTCAGACCCGTGTTTGCTGCCAGGAACGTGGTTGTGCTGCACTGGCCTCAGTTCCTGGTTGCAGAAYGCAGCGTCTGCGTCCAGAAGCATTAGTTCCTGGAGAGCAGAGCAATATGCTTTCTGACTTTCTCTGTAGCACTTGAGGAGAATACAGGACTTCCCAGGGCTACAGGCTGGCATAATCCTCAGTCTATATCTCCCCCAGCAGGACAGATACAAAAACAGTGTATATTTTCTAATGGCATTGGCTGTCTGGGAGGTGGAAGGGCAGGGCGGTGGCAGAGAAGCGGTCTCTTTGGATGTGCTGCTTATGTCTCGTTTATCTTCTCTCTCAGTGAGAAGCATTGTGATGAAAGCAGTTCAGAGCCATGTCCAGAGCAGTTAATCTCTAGGGAAGGGCCAATGTAAGTCATCTGCCTCAGAGCCCCAAACTCAGCATAGCAGACTGCGGGGAGATGAAAAGATGAAAGTCATTAGGGAAGGAGAGAACCCCCTCAGCTGCTTTGACTCGAAATAAAACAGGAGGACTGGTAAAGATGCAAAGGAGGGGATGCATTTGAGTCCCAGAGCTACATTGCTGTCTGTACTGAGGGAAAATATAAACCAGGAACTTAGCCCTTGCTTGAGAGATTCTCCAGTGTCTTATAGGGAAGAACCCATGAGCTACCAAGGGAGCCCAGCTTTATGAATTTCATATTTATAGACAGAGCTGGGACATGGCCTGTGCTGTGTATAGCCTTACAATTTATGAGTTGGCAGCAGTGGTTGATGGGAAATGTGCTCCGAGGCTCAAAAGTGTGCTTAAGCTTTGTAAATACAATCAGTTCAGGCTGAAGTGAGTGAACAATGTGGAATGTTTTGAGGCCAGATTCAACATCAGGAAAGAAAAAAAAAAACCCAGTGAGCCAGTGGTACTTGAGTGTGTTGTGAAAGCGTGCGTCTCCGGGGTCACAGCGTGACCTCCTGGCTCAGGCACTAAGGACCCCAGTCGACTCACTGCAAATTAAAATGTTGCATATGCTCCGCGTGCAAAAAGATTGTACACAGTGACTGTGAGAAGTCTTCCTGAAATGCTCTTGCCTCTGCTGGTGGTCTTGCCGCTTCAGCACTGGATGTCTGGCTCATGCTCTCTATTTTTCAAAAGCATTAATAATCATAATCCATATAAAACTGTCATATTGGTTCAACATGTACGTCACCAAAGCCCTGACTAATTTATCAAAGATTTAGTGTTCAGTTGAACAAAGTCTCATTTTTGTAAGCAGATGTAGTTTGCTGGATTGTCCTGTCATCACCCACTGTTTCCACTGGGAAGATACATCATATCAGCAACTTCTAAAAGTTAAAAAAATGCACATTTTAAAACAGTAAAGTAAACATTTATTGCATGTTCCATGTTAGTCATGAATAATATAGAGAGCGTAGCAGATAATGCTGCTTGWGATGAAGTGGGACAGCGGGACTACAGTCACTGGTGGATGAATGTACCACAGTGGTTGCCYGTCTCAGTGGTGATGATGAGGCAGAAGATGCAGCAGTCACAGCACTAAAAAGGAGATGATGAGCTGCTCCAGGCAGAGACGGGATCTGAAGAGGTCAGTCCAAAGATGTGCCATGCAGTGCAGCCCTGGTTTGTCTGGGGGATTGCAAGGCTGTGCCCATTGCATATTGACCTACAGTAGGCAGAATGTCAGACTTGAATAGAAATAGTTGAGCACCTAAGACATCTGCAAAGGAAAGTGGGAGCAGTGAAGTCGTACCACTTCCCTGGCATGGGACAGGAGCTGGCAGACAGAAGAAACATACAGATGCAGAGGTTTTCCCAGGGAACTGAGTTTGGATCAAACTCAGTTCTGCATTTTGGTTCARAGCACAGATGCTACGGTCAGATATGGCCATATTCTGTCCCATGGACTGCACATGGGGACAGTCTTTGTCCCCTCTAGGATGTAATAAAGTGACAGAGACACCCTAGGAATATCCTTCGAAGTCAGCACACTCAGAACCTCTCCCAGCAAGACAAAGCAGCATCAAGTAGAAAAGGATGGCTGTACTATATGACCTACTGCCAGTGGGAGGCAGCTGAGTGTGAATGCTGAGGGTAGATTGGAGCAGACGCTGAGAACAATGGGGATGAGAGAGCAGATGGCAACGTCCATGCTGGTACAGGGTAGAACAGGGGTGTGAGAAASTCCTGGCGTACGCAGTGTGCAGGAGATGGTATCATATACAATGCACTATTCTTACTTCCTTATACAGTAAATTGGTAACTTTTTTTTCTATTAAATCAGATTTTATCACTGAATCAATCTTGCACTTTTCTATTCTTGTTCTCTACAAAAGACCTTTTTTAGCTCTCCTCGGCTCTTTCCTGATGGGACTCATTAAGAGCTGGTGCTGGTTTTAACAGGCATTCACTTTCACTTATCATCTGGGGAATTTTTTGGACAATACTTTGTTGAAATGGCCTTGCAGCTTTCTGGTGCTGTGCTCAGTGTCAGCCAGCAGCTCCTCTAGGGTCCCGTGTCTGCATCCCCCAACGACGGTGACGAAAGCAGCATCTTTTCCCTCAGTCTCCACTGAAATTTGAGTGTCATCAAAGGAAGCACCACCTGCCCAGRTGCCTTGTAGATGCACAATTCAAATTTGCAGATTGTTTGTGATATATTTTCCCAAACACCACATAAACCACAGAGTAGAGCAATGTGGTAAACAAGAAATAAACAATACCTCGCATCCCGCACAAACTCCCAAAGTTTTACCTGATCTGGTTCGTTTTTTTTTTTAAGGACTACCAGATGTGTTTTTTAATCATGACTTTCATGTCAAAGAATAGTCTCTGCATGGACTTTTATTTTGCAGACAATTCGTACACTGACATTAAAGCTAGGAGGGAGTTTGTAACCATTACTTAGTGCAGTAATTAGCAGCCTGTTCTCTGTTTTATGGAATTACTTCCATCACCCACTTTGCTCAACTAACCATTATGTCAAAGAAGATTGTTCACACTTACAGATCTGTTCTGTATTTCTARTAATTCAAGAGCTCTCTCATCTGTGTACCCTATGACTGACTCTTTTTAATTACATTTCCTACCTTTCTGCAAATATTCTTTGCTTAGGGGTGTAAATTCTTCCAGTGAAGCATCCAAGGGTGCAGAACCAGCAGACAAGGTAGAGAGCATCACTCAGATAATAAAGAATGCCATATTATTTTCTTGAAATGTACTTAATATGAGACAACATATGGAATAATGGTCTGTGATTTAATTGTTTCACAAATTGCTTTGGTTTTTTTTTGTTCTTTGTTCAAAGGGTTTACTGGGGACTTAGTCCTTTCCTACTCTTTTCTTCCAGAGACAGCTTTGGTATTCAGTCCTCTACCTGACCATTCAAAGTGGAGCAGCCAAAATCTGGACCAGTCCCTTCAGACACGGTGATGAATGGTGTGATCAAGAAGGAGCGCTTGGACCAGAAAAGTACACCAAGTGGCAATGAGGAAGAAAAGGCACCCAAAGAAAAGTCTGCCAGTGAAGTGAGAGATAGCACCAAGCTCCAGCCACCCCCCTTTGCGGAGAGGAAGAACGGTGAGTTCAACTACCGAGTTCAACTACAGAGCCAAGAAAGGGGAAGGGAGTGTACACAGAAAATGGGTGCATGAGGGTTTGGCATCTCTAACACAGACTGGGTTGGTGGGATGTCTCAGCGTTATTTTTGCAAGGGGATTCTGAAGATGCTTCTTGTTGGAAGCTGCTACGATGGAAGTGGCTGTCCGGGTCTGTAGTTCTGTGTTAGCCTTGAATGCTGTTTTTGGACTCGGGGCAGTTGTCATGTTCTTTGCAAACCAAGTTTTTGGTACAGGCATGGCTAAAATGTAGCAATTTAGTGTCTGTCATTCTAGCTTTGGAAGTTGGATTTTCTGAGGGATTAGGGTAAGCTGAATTTTCTCACTGGAGAAGATAAAAAGGACATATTTTGTTTGCAAAGGCACTGATAACCCTGTTGTGCTCTCCTAGAGCACTGACAGCTTATTGTCTTCAGAAAAATTATTTCAGATATATGTAACGGGGAGTAGAACTTGGTCTGGGCTTGTGCATTTGTGTTTCCATAGCTGTGGAGTCCAGAAACTGGTCTTGTTGTCAGACGTTGATCCAGATTTCAGTGGAGATCTATTGGATCTGATGGACAGTGGGGAAAACTACTCAATTTAGCTTGGGTAAGGCATGCTCAGGCTCAGAGTTGTTTGCCATTTCTTTCAGGCAACTGTGTAATATATGAAATGAAGAAAATTCCTTTTGTGCACTCTAAGGCTTTCAACATTAAGTCCTCAAAATATCATGCAATGTGAAAGTGCAGCTTGAAGGCACTATTTTTGCTTTGCGTCTTTGATTGTTTGCATTATTGTACAGGACCCAATTTTTCTCAATCACTATAAATCAGAAATAATCCAAATGATGTCATCATGGCAATGTGCTGGTGTCAAACTGGAATAACACAGCAGAGAATCAGGCCCAGAGTCTGCCCATAGTCAGATTAAGCCACACCAGGGTATGCATTTCTCTTTCCAGGCCCAGATATCAAAGTATGCCTAAGATAGCGTGATACCAAAGGCAAAGATAATGTAAATTTGCAAAGGTGCAGGGTTAAGAGCAGTTTGGGAAACATAATATTCTCACTTATCATTTTGCATTTTTCGTTTTTCATTCATTTTCCCGCTTGTTTTTTCTTATAGAAAGACAAAGAAAGAAAAAACTCCAGCTTTCCATAGGCAAAACTGCCCTTAAGCGTGACTGGCAGGCTTTGCACTACGAACATTTAGGCAAGAACTGCATTAAGAGCATGTAGCAGGGCAAGCATCTGCCTTGCAGATGATCTCCGTGTCTGAGGGTTCATGCCCTGCTTGCAACTGTCAGCTTGGCAGCCTAGACAAGATACGCTCCATCCTGCAGCCCCACAAGGCTGGGTCGTTCGCAAAGTCTCTAAGTGAGAAAAGCCTCCCACAGTCTGGGCATCCCTCCAGCCCTTTGGTCTCCTCCTTTTGCTGTTTTTCCCTTTATTTTGCATATTTAAACAGTACAGGAGCTCAGCTCTTCTTGTAGGCCCACACGACCCTCTTGGGAACAGCTGGCTCCCTTCATCTCACATCATCCCAAGAGCTGGCAGGCCTGCCAAGTGTCACGCATCTCGTGTGGCACTTGGACCTTCCTTTGATGTCACATTCTCCTTGTGACAGCTCCTATAGGACTGATGAAACAGCCTGATAAAGGCTTGGTTTGGGGGATGAAGAGGAAGAGTGGCATCTCCCACTGCGGCCTGTCCTCCTTAGTGCCACCTGCTCTTGTCCTGTGAAGGCCAAGGGAGACCTGCAGGGAAGCGCTCCTGAGTGCCATGCCTGTGCCATCACCTTGTCCTGTTCGCTGACATCAAATCCTTCAYTGCCCCACATGCTGCTGCCTACCCACTGCTCACTCCCACCATTACCCTCAACTGCCCCATCAGTTTTTTGGGGCGAGCAGCAGTGGGGAGCAGGGCAGCACTGCTTGAGAGTCAGATACTGAGGTAGACAAAGTGCCTGCAAAATAAGATGGAGGAAAGGGATACAACTGTCTTTAGGGATCTATCAGGGCACATAAGGCTTCCTGAACTCACTGAGTAGCTTGTCATGCCAAAGCTGCTGCTMACATTTCATGTCCAGGAGAAGCAAGTGCAGGTGGTCCTACCTTTTCTCAGCCTGCTGCATCCCTGGTGCACACATCAGGTCAGGTAGGCTGGCTTTGACCCCTGCCACGCACCCAGMTCATGGCTGGTGATCTGTAGAAGCTTGGTGGGTATCAGACAGACACCTGTGTGTCATTGTTCTTCAGGGAAGGCCAGTTCCTGCATGAGTCTGAACTTTCAAACTGCAGCCTTTATTTGACTTAACGTTGATTTAATAAAAACAGTCGAGCTAGAATATTTTTATATAGGAAAATAGTCTTTTTAACTCTTGCATTATTCAAAAATGGTTGAGAGGATTTCATTTAAATTTGTAAAAATAAATCACCTTTGAGAAAGCATGAAGCCCATTCAGCAGGACCTACAATAAACAAGGACTGGACATGCAGGTACAAGAAACGGGGACTGTTGCCTCTAAAGCAAGCAGTATTCTTAACATCTGCTTGCCCAGTTCCATATCCCAGCTCTAACCTGTTTCTTACCCTASAGTGGGACACTCTCCAACTTCTCTGTACAAAGATATACCAAGTGCAGCTCAGACTGTGCTGACTCCCACAGCCTATGGTGTCCATATGCTCAGTGATATATTCTCCTTGTAAGTTCTAGCCCACACTGGCCTGGGCTGGCCAGAGCTGTCCCAAAAAGCCTAAAACAAACATACTTGTGGGTCTTCCTAATATCACCAGTGGTATTGGGTCTGGAGATAGGTRGGTTTCAGCAAGAATTTCACAATATCACTTTTCATAAGAAAAGGGACCAGAGAAAGTACAGGAGCTACTTCCTATCAAATATCTTCTCAAAGGCCGTGTCAGTCCCTGTGCTCAGTGCCAGGTATCCAGTCCGATCTGATGAGGTTTCTCTGACCAAGAAGCCCTGCTCTGGGTGGGCTCAGGCCTCTCTGGAGTCACCCCATTTCTCTCCAGTGACTTTCAGGAGTTAGATGACCAGCTCTCACTGAGACCTTTAGCGAAGAGACTCATCTCACCCGTATGTCCCCATAGACCTGGTTGATTCCTGTCTGGATGCCTGAGTTCTATTATCACAGAATCACAGAATATTCAAGGTTGGAAGGGACCTCTAGAGATCATCTAGTCCAACCTTCCTGCTCTAGCAGGGACACCTAGATCATGTGGCACAGGGTGGCATCCAGGTGGGTTTTGAAGACCTCCAGAGAAGGAGACTCCACARCTTCCCTGGGCAGSCTGTGCCAGGGCTCTGGCACCCTCACAGGAAAGAAGTTCCTCCWCACCTGGAGATGGAACTGCCTGKGTTTCAGCTTATGCCCAGCTTATGGGTGACAGACCTACTGCGCTGAGCCCAGAGAGCTGCTTCAGTCACCCAGATGTGGCCAGATGCCACTAAAAGGCAAGATGATATGTATGAGGTGGGTCCTACTGCTCGCATTCAGACAAGTGCAGTTAGGAGAGCTGAGAGGCCCCTTGTTCCTGTTCAGGTTCAGCAGCATGCTCGCTAACTGCTCATAATGTTTCCACGTAGGTTCTCCATCACCGACTTGGGAAATAATGTGGTTAAACTCTTCTGTTTATTTGTGTAGCGAAATAGACCCTCTGACCACTGGTTCCTTTAGCCTCCTGCAACAAAAGGGAGGATTCTGAACTGCCCATCTGGTTTGCGTTTAGGGTAATGTGCAGAAAGGTTGTACATTTTCAGAGCCCTTGTTCCTAAGTAGTAGATTGTACACCAGTTTATTACATAAATGGAGCTTTTTATTGCTGGGCTTTGTTGAACTGCCAGTTAAGATAAAAAAAAAAAAAAAGTAATGTGCTTCATAAGCCCTATCAAAGAAAATTAGAAAGCATTAAATTCTGTTCAAGCTATCAGCCAATGTGAGTGAGTAATCAAATCCAGAAAGGCTGGTTAGAGGTCAAGACTTTCTTGCACTGTGTGTTTTTGAATCAATAATTGCTATGAAAGTCGTATAAGCGAAACATTAAAAAAAAATAAAAAGGGCAATCACCACAACAGTACAATTCACAGGCTAGAATAGGTAAGATATCTAAAAGTTGGGGGAGTACACCCAAATAGACGTTGCTCAGTTCTTATTGCAAGCATGTGTTTCAGTTTAAATGTATATTACAATGATTATTAAATTACTATCTAGTCCYAAACATAATCTAGCCCTTGTTCCACATAGCCAGGTAAGAGGTGTATCTGAAGGAAGATTTTCCAAATTACCTTTGAATCCAAATTAAATAAATAGTGCAAACACTGTATTGAACCCAGGTGATAACTAATCCACAATGAAATATCAGTCTGCAGTCTTGAACCGCGCAGCCCAGATATAATGCCACTTAAATCAGAATGTAAGAACTAAAAGAATTCTAGGAATCCAATGATATAAACTGTATTTTTAGAGCTGTGAGTGACTTGTGAGAGTGAAACACTGCAGTGACTAAAGATAGCACAGGCTAGGTTTTCCATGATTTATCGCAAGAGTGTTCAGAGTGAGTTAAAGTCATCGAATGATGGGATAGCAGCACCTACAATTAGGCATGCTTGCAGGACAAGTCATTCATAACCTAATTGTCACAGAGCAAAATTTCCATAACAGAGCTGCGACTTCCTTGCGCAATGACCACACATCACTTTTCTGTTAGGCTGTTGAGAGGTTCGTTTGTTTTCTAGGATCTATTTTTTTTTCTTTAATGCAGTCAGGAAAGAACCCACCAGCATGCACATTTCAGATGTCTCTCAAACCTCCAGTCTGGGTGAAGAGAAGCAAAGAGGAAGCTCCTGCATTGGTTTTGACTGGTTGTGGTCTCACATTGGAGTCTGTTCAACACTGATGCACTGCTGGTATTTCTCCCTGAGTTGCTTTGTGCACTCAGAAGCCATGTTGGACCACAGCAAA